TCCAAGTGCTCACCCCCTTATGCAAAAGGGAGGGTCCAGGAAGAGTGCGAGAAGATCTCTGCAACGATTTGTACTAACCTCGTAGATAACATGCCTAGGAGGGTGCGGGTGGTGATCAAGGCCAAGGGTCGGTGTACTAGGTACTAGAAACTTGTTCGGAAGTTTACGCTTTGTCCCGGGAAAAAACTGTCCGGATGACCCCCTTGTATAACTTTTGGCACTAAGTTAGATGCAGTGTACTACTATGGACGTAAGTGCTGTGAACACATCCACTATGTACCCCTCCAAAAGCGTACCACCATTAAACATTAAGACTTTATGTACCGTGGTCGAAAAGCCTAAAAAACCTAATTAATGCCAAACATCCGGACAGTTTTTTCCGTCACTGTATGCTTTAGTGAATTAGGCAAGGACCACTCACACAGGAGCTAGTGAGCTGCATTGCAAAACCCTCGCACAAATCTAACAATCACATCCTACACAGCATCAGTGTGCGACCACAAGGCAATGCATTGAGGTGAGGTGCATGAGGTGATCCTGTCAACATATATATTTGTATATGTTTAAAGGCTAGCTAGGAGCATACCCTAGAGAGTACAACACTTAGAACAAAACTGCCCTGTATGCCCTATTCTATTCAACTCGCTACCTTGAGATGGTATCACGCTAGGCTAGATCCTCCTTGCCCGCCCGCGCTTCTGCCTCAGCCCTAGTCCTAGCCCTAGTCTTCGCTCTAGTCCTAGCCCTAGTCCTAGCCTTCAGGCCCCGCTCGTCGCCCCACGCTCGTAGGCCCCGCTCGTCGCCCCACGCTTATAGGCCCGCCCTCGTCACTTTTGACGAGTCTGTCTCCTTCTACCACCGCTTTCCCCATCGAGGTCTCCCGGTTTCCCCGCCCCTGTTTCTGGTTCCCACTCCCCTGGTAGCCCCTACTCCTCTCCCTCCCCATCCTGCCTCGTCTGATGTGTCTCACGTCACTCCCCTCCCGTCGGTTGTCCTGGTCAAGGAGTCGGCTGACTTTGGTGGCCCCGCGGCACCATTCTCGCCGCCTGTCTCCGCCCTGGTGTCCCCTCCTTCACCGTCGCCGCAGCAGTAGCCGTTGCCATTGTCGCAGCCGCAGCAGCAGCCGCAGTCGCCGCCACCGCAGGGGTCCGCGAGTTCTGGGGGTGCGGGCGTTGAGCAGGGTGCTAGTCCTGGGGTTACTGACGTGGCTTATCCCGGCGGTCCTGGGGGTGGCACTGGTGCTGGGAGGGTTCTCGTTCTAGGGGTGCTGGGGTGCTAGTCCTAGGGTTACTGTCGTGGCTTCTCCCGGCGGTCTAGGGGGTGGCACCGGTGCTGAAGAGGGATCTCGTTCTGTGGATGTTGGCGTGGAGAGTCCCGGAGGCAACCGTGGTGCAACTGGAGGTTCTGGTATCAGTGTGGAGCAGCAGTAGCAGTCGTCGCCGGTATCCGCCCACGACCGCCCGCCCGCCTGTGCCTCCTCCGCCGCCGCCTCCCCTGCCTATCTACGGCCCTGTATTTCCTCCGTCGGACTCGCCTCCGGCTCGTTTCCCCCCTCGTTCTCCTCCTTTGTCTCCTCCTCTGTCTCCTAACCCGATGCCTCCATCCCACTTCTGGTCTCGCCGTCCCTATCGTGCTCGTCCTGTCTCTCCTGTTAAGCGTTTTCACCCTATGTTGCTCCGTTCTCATGCATCTCGTCCTCCCCTCCTCCCTTCGCCTCCTCCGTCGTCGTTTGTTGTTGCTCCGCCTCCTCTGTCAGACTTCCTCCGTGTAGCTAGTCCTCTTATTCCTCGGGTCCTCACCTCCCTCGTTACCGACCCGTCCGCTCCTGTCTCCAGTCTTGATGCTCTTGTCGCTGCCATCGCTGACTTTGCCTCTACCCACCGCCTTGACTACGCCACAACTCTAGTCTCTAACCCTGCCCGTCCTCTGTCCGTCGGGGGTGATCCTGCCCTTGGCAGTGACGTCCTGGAGGACCGGCAGTACGAGCTTGCTTTCCTGTCCTAGGCCGCACCTTATCTCTGCTCCATGCTGCTAGTCCCTGAGGGTGACCTAGACGCCTTCGACATCTCGACCCCTCGCACTTACGCTGAGGCGACCTTGGGACTCTGGGCCTCCCAGTGGATATCTGCCATGGACGCGGAGATGGCATCTTGGAGATCCACTGGCACCTACGTCAACGAACTTCCCCCACCAAGGGTGAACGTAGTCAATGGCCGGTGGCTCTTCAAGGTGAAGCGCCCGCCTGGAGAGCTGCCGGTGTTCAAGGCACGCTACGTCATGAGAGGCTTCAGTCAGCGTGAGGATGTTGGCTTCTTCCAGACCTTCGCCCCGACCCTGAAGATGGCTACTCTTCGGGCGCTGCAACACATAGCAACACATCGTGACTACGAGCTGCACTCTCTCGACTTCTCGACAGCGTTTCTTTAGGGCAGTCTGTACGAGCAGGTCTACCTGCGCCGCCCGCCAGGCTTCACCGGCACCTTTGCCCCGGGGACCCAGTGGCTCCTACGGCGCCTGGTTTACAGCCTGTGACAGGCGCCCTGAGAGTGGCACGGCATGTTGCGTGCTACATTACAGTGACGGAAACAATTGTCCGGATGTTTTGCACTAACTAGGGTTTTTGGGCATTCCGATCGCTGTACATAAAGTCTTAATGTTTAATGGTGGCAAACTTTGGGAGGGGCACATAGTGGATGTGTTAATAATGCTATAATCCATAATAGTATACTAGATCTAACTTAGTGCCAAAATATATCCAAGGAGTACATCTGGTCAATTGTTTCCCAAGACAAAGAGCAAACTTCCGAACAGCGTTCCTAGTACCTAGTCCACCAACCCTTAGCCTTGATCACCACCCGCACCCTCCTAGGCATGTTATGTACGAGGTTAGTGCAAACCTTTGCAGGGAGCTTCTCGCACTCTTCCTGGATCCGCACTTTTGCATAAGGGGGTGAGCACTAGAAAAAATGCGAAGGATTTTAGTGTATGCAAAAGAAATGTGCGTGTATTCTGATTAAATGTGATCTCTTAGTCTTGCCACGCTGAAGTGTGACCAAAGATGCCATTAGCCGATTAGTCGCGTCTTTTCATGGGTCGTCTCCGTCGTATCGCTATAGGGTAAAACCACGAACAGAGCGGGGAAAACTAGCGTATACGCCGTGAAATTGAAGGTAACGTAGCACGGTTGATTGTACACCCTTGCACTATTAGAATCCTGCTAGGATCCACAGGTCTCATCACGGTGCAGCAGTCGAAGAAGTCACGAGTGTTCGAGATGAATGCTTGAGGTGAGGTATGGTGAGGAAAAGGGTTACTCCAATGCAACATACTCATGCTCTCCAAGCCATTCCAAGCCATTTGACCCACCTAGGCTTGGAATGGCTTGGAGAGCATGAGTATGTAGCACTGGAGTGACCCTCCTCTTCACCAGACCTCAACCCGGATATTTTTCCCCACCAGCCGAGGCTTGTTCGACTGCTGCACCGTGACGAGACCCATGGATTTTAACGTGATTCTAATAGTGAAAGGGTGCACAGTCGACCGTGCTATGTTACCCTAAGTTTTGCGGCGGATGCGCTAGTTTTCGCCACTCTGTTCATAATTTTACCCTACAACGGTACGACGAAGACGATCCATGAAAAGACTGGACCAAACGGCTAATGGTCCCGTCTTTTCATGAAAAGATACACCTCAGCGTGGCTAGTCTAAGCGATCACATTCAATCAGAAATCGTGCACAATACTCTTACATACGCTCAATCGTCACTGTAGCTGACATGCAGTTCTTCCCGTCCTCTGCAGACCCTTAGCTCTTTGTTCGCTCAAGGCAGACTCCGTTCTACATCCTTGTCTACGTAGACGACCTGGTCTTCGCTACTGCAGACAGATACGCACTGGCCTCCGTGAAGGCCGAGCTGTTGAGGAGACACAGTTGCACTGACTTAGGAGAGCTATGCCACTACTTTGGCCTACAGATCTCCAGGGACAGAGCAGCGCGCACCATCACTCTCACACAGTCACATTTGGTGCACCAGGTGCTTCAGATTTTCGGTCTACATTTCTCCTCCGCATAGCCCACACCTCTGCCAGTAGACCACAGGCTCTCGGCTCCAGTCCCTGACGAGTCAGTAGACCCTAGTGGTGCGTACGCTACGCTGGTGGGTTGCCTCATGTACCTGATGACTTGCACGCGCCCAGATCTTGCATACCCTCTCAGCATCCTGGCTCGCTTTGTGGCGACAGGCAGACACCGATCACAGCACTTGTCGGCTGCTAAGAGGGTTTTGCGTTATCTAGCAAGTAGATCGAGCATCGGTCTAGTGCTAGGAGGACGCAGGCCAATGGTCCTTACAAGACACACAAACACTTCGCGGGCAAACGACGCTGAGACCCTCAGGTCCTCCCAGGGCTACTACTTTAGCCTTGGTGTAGGCGCCATCTCGTGGAGGTCCACCCACTCGTTGTCTGTTGCACAATCTAGCTGTGAGGCTGAGATCTATGCTGGTGCCATGGCGGCCTAGGAGCTCCGCTGGCTGACCTTCTTGCTCACAGACTTAGGTGAGCGGCCTAGCTCTGCCCCGGTCCTGTACGCTGACAACAGGGCATGATCCTCCTGTGTCAAGAGCCTCGACTCGAGGGCAAAGCGAAGCACATCTAGCTGCGGTACTTCCTCCTGCGTGAGCTAAAGCAGCGCCGTCAGGCCTGCGTAGTACACTTAGCTTCCGGTGCCAACACAGCTGATATCTTTACGAAGGCACTTGCGCCTAAAGATCATCAGCGGCAATGTGTACAGCTTGGTCTAGTTCCTGTAGCTCCTCACTTGCTAGGGTCTTGATTGTGTACTCTTTTATATATATTCTCCTGACTGGCCTTGTGGCTACTGTTCCAGTGGCCGGACTAGTAGTGCCGCCCTGGTTTGCTCGTGTCTTGTTTGTACCCTTGCTGACCAGTCTTCGAACCCTTGCCTCATAGGCTGGACTAGTAGTGCCACCCTGAGCTTCGTGTCTCTTGCCAGGCACTGCCCCTTGTCTAGCCTAGGGGGTGTGTCAACATATATATATTTGTATGTTTATAGGCTAGCTATGAGCATACCTTAGAGATTACCACACTTAGAACAAAACTACCCTGTATGCGCTATTCTAGTCAACTCGCTACCTTGAGAGATCCATCAACCTCACAATGCAAGGCTATCAGTGCCCATGGAGTGGCGATTCAAGTACCTCAGGAGAGCATCATCCACCCTGCACATGGCAAACAGCACAACAGACACACGGTACGAGTACATGGGAATGACTGAATGCGCACTTGGACCAAAAAACTCGAGGTAAAATGCAACCCACTGGAAAGTGGCAGCTTGCTAGCATTCCATTTAAGAACACTCACCATGGTAGCGCATAAAACTCTGCATCCTGGTCAGGACCAAAAGCTGAGCCCGCCTGTGCGCCCGCAGCCCCTTCCGCTCCTCCCTGCTGCATCAGATCCAAATCCTTCTGCTGCGAAACCATCAAGTCCCTGATAAAAGTTCCTGGCGAGTGTGAAAACGCCAGCAAAAATGCGCGCCGCCGCCGGTGCTTAGCTAGATCCTCAGCATCTCTAGCCATGGCTGCGTCTATAGCATCTATCTCTGGCTGCTGGCCCATTGCTGCAATCACACGGGCAGTCTCTGCTGCTAGAGCAGGAGCTTCTGTTACAGTCACATCCGTGCAAGTGTCAGCCGAAACAGAGGGTAGGGTCTCATAAGAGGGGAGGCTGGTGGGTGGGGCGAGTGGATGGAAGGAGGGATCTGAACAGGGGAGTGTGGAGGAGTGTGTGGGGGGAGCTGTGAGGGAGATGCGGTGGGTGATGGTGAGAGGAGGAGGAGGGGAGAGGAATGGAGAGATGTGGATGGGGAGGGAGGAGATCTTGAGCTTGTCTTGCTTGAAGAGGGCTTGGAGGGTGGGATCACAGTGGAAGGACGAGGGATCTGAGGGGTCCTGTTGGACAAACAAGAAGAACAGGCAGAAAGGGGAGATGAGGATGGGGAGTGAGGAGACCTTCTCTTGGTTAAAAACGGCTTGAAGGGTGGGATCGCAGTGGATAGTGGAAGGTTCAGAGGGGTCCTGCTTCAGAGGGACAAAGGTGGAGAATAGCACGAAAATAGCATAGCAAGGGAGAAAAAAAAAAGCAAACCTCTTTTGCTTAAGGAGGGCGTGGAGAGTGGGATCGCAACTGAAAGTGGAGGGCTCAGAGGGGTCTTCTTTCAGAGAGACAATCCCGGAAAAACAAAATGAGGTCCCAATGAGATCCTCAATATATATTTCTAGAGTTCCCAACGAGATCTAAGCGACTTAAAACCGTCAAGGTTCACCAACAGACCATCCATTCTTCCCCTCCACCAAGGATCCCCACCAAGCGCGCAGCTTGTTCGCCAGAACCTGCAGCACTTGCACCCTGCTGCCTGTAACTAGCCCCACCGCCTCTCTCAATCCTTCTCCACACTGCACACCCCCAGAACCATCAATGCCAGCTTACCTGCAGCTTGTTGGCCTTGATGTGGCTCCAAAGGGCCTCTAAGAACTGCATTCTCGTCCCCACACTAGTCCCCACCACCTCTCGCAGCTCACACTTTACACTCAGGGTTCCTTCACCGCAACACACCTGCAGCTTGTTGGCCTTTATGTGGTTCCAAACGGCCTCCAGGACTTGCATCCGTGTCCCCACTGTCATCCCCACCACCGCTCCCAACCCCTCGCCAACACTGTACACCTCCTCCCCATGCTTCAGCTCCACATGAAGCTCCACCGAAACTTCCTCGCTTCCCGCTCGTTGCATCTCCACCGTTGTGGCCCCTGGCCGGAAAATCCCGTCCGTTTCTGCGTCCCACAGGACTACCGCGTCGTTGGGTGGAGGGAACAGCTTCGGGTCGAGCCGAGCCTCGATCCGCTGGACATGCCGAGCCAACGGGCCAGCCGCGGCATCACGAACCTTGAGTATCCCAGAACCTAGCAGCGCCTGGCTCAATCCTGATTCTCCAGCGGCTGGATCCGATATGCGAGCCTCTGCGTCTGTTAATATCGCGGACACTGCTAGTGAACGCTCCTTGTCGCTACTATCGACGCGCCTACTACTCAGAGGAGTTTTTTCTCCTGGAAAATATCCTGTCTGCGCGCCGAATCGCTCCTCATCTTCTCCCACCATTCGCGCCACGAGTCGCAAGGTCCAACGAGGAACATCAACGGCTGCGATAGATCCATCTACGCCCGATTTCCCTCCGCTCTGCTCCGCGCCATCCTGGAACGAATGGGTATTAAAGACGTAAAGCCGGAGGGTTCGCGTGACACGTGGCATGGAGTGGAGCGACTCGGAGAGCTCCTGCTTAACGCGCGATAGGACAATATCCATCTGTCTCTCTTCGGCCTGGAGCCGCGTAAGCATAGCCGACTCGGGAGCTAGAATCTCCGAGAAGCCATCGCCGGCAGTTAAAGCCGCGTTCGACCCTTTCACCCTGTCCTTATATTTCTTACGCTTAGCGGGAGGTATGGCTTCCGTCGCCAGTATCCTGACGTCAGCGCCTGACTTACTACCCGAGCCGTCCTTACCGTCCTTGCCTGATCTGCTCGCGTCTCTCCTACCTCCTAGACCCATCGACGTGCGTCCAGTAGCCATATTTCTTGTACACTTGCTCGTCTTAAAGAATTTCCTAGAAGTTGTTTTAATCACGCACGGCAATTACTCTGCACGGTGAAAGATCGGGAGCTCCTGCCGCACAAGAGGCTGGTTTTATCCTTCGGAAGGACAAGTGATAAAAGATCAGCACGTCACGTCTCCCATGGCTACCGTGCGGTGTAAAAGAACCGGCCCAAAGAGTCCTGGGCCCATACCAGGGCGTGACCCGACGTTCGTTAAAAAGCGTTTCAGTAAGGTGCTTTGCGTTCTAAAACTTTCAAGTGAGCGTCCAGAACGGTCGAGTGGGGTCTTGAGCAAGGTGAGATGAAACTAGGGTCAAGGCCCTCTCGTGATGAAGCAGTGTTTGAGGAGATGGTTACAGAGTTTCAGGTGATTCAGCTACCTCGCGTAGCTTATGATCCAGTATAGTACATTCTCGGACCGAGTTCAGGGACACTAATGATACGATTTGGTTGTCATAACCTGACACTCGAGCGTGGAAAGTCTACCGTATTTTCCAGCGCTGTTGTCCCACAGAACCCAGCTGTGAAAAGCCCTCAAACGCGGGATGAGCCCTCGGGAGTTGGGCAACAGTTGGTTTCACTTTCTTGCGATTCCCGCCAAACTGGTCACCCCAGGCAGACGGGCTCAGTCAGTCACTTCACCTTATCTCAGCCTCTACCTCTCCGTCGCCTCTGTCCTTCAGGCGAATCAGTCAGGCAAAGCTAGCTCAGAGATTTGTCTGCAGCACTCTAGGCTGTCAACGCTTTGAAATGCTCGCCCGCGTCACGCGTGGAAGCCGCAGCGGTACAGTCGAAGGCACGGTGAATGTGGTATCTGAAGCATTCTGCTAGGCGGCGATCAGCAACAAACACTTGCCCCCGCTATCTGCTTGATCATATTCCTGCGACTATGACCCTAGTATTCATGGCAATCGCCACGCCACAGGACAGGGCACGGCATTTCGCATCCCGTCCATCTCTCCGCAGCTCACCTGCGATTCCATTCCCTTCGAGTCGATGCTCGTCGTCGCTGCGTCCTGCTGTGCTCCTCGGTTTCTCCACACCTGCTTCGTTTGCAACAAAATCCCACGTTCCCTCCGTCAAGTCGACGCTCGCCGACGCTGCTTCCATCCGCGCCCGTCGGTTTCTACCGCCTCGGAATGCGTCAACTGTCAGCATCTCTGTACAGATCGCATCATCTCACCATCGCTCCACCGCATCAGAGCGATCAGCAGCGCAACGAGCCTGCGCGTTAGTACCCACGAGTAACGGGCCATTCTCAGGAACAGGGGCCGGCTCAGAGCCCTCGTTGCGTCAGACGCCTCGCTTCCGCTCGACTAGTACTAAAGCTCGCACCACTGGCGTCAGCGACTGCTGACGTCAGCGTCAGCTCCTTCGAAGCAGCGAGTCGCAGCTTCTGTGGCTCTGAGCGGACGCGTCATACACTCGGGTGCTTGAGCTCCCTGGCTTGTCTCTTCCAACCCACCGCGGGCTTGAGCTATTTTGTGCTACGGTCCTTTCAGGAACCGTTTCCCCAGATTTTCTGTAACACAGAGCTACACACGAAACGTTCTCCTTCTTAACTCACCTAAGGCCATCAGACCGCACACTTTTAACAGCGGCCGGCGCCGTGATGCCTTTTGAGTCGACTCCTCAGTCACCTTTAACAGCAGCCGGCGAGGGCGGCGTGATGCCTAGATCTATGACCACATGCAAGGACATGCTAGGAGGGCCTGTGCAGCCATGCAGAGACCAAATCGGGGCACAGCCTGTGAACCATGAAGCTTGGTTCAATTGGGGGAAGTCACAAGTGTTTGCAGTCATCGGCTTGCCTGTAGCGCTACTGCTGCTCCTGATGATGATAATTGCTCACGGCGTCTCCCCTGCACCCATACACCCTGTCTACGGCGGTTTGGCACGGAGAGAGCGTGAGGGGGGGCAACAGCGGGTGGCACGATTTGTTGGGGTGCTTGCAGCACAGGTGAGGCTGATGGAAGGGGCGACGGCAGGGAGGAGGGACCTTCAGGAGCAGGTGGTCGGATTGGCCCTGAATGGTTCAGCCATGCAAGAAGCGACCGGCACTGGTGCTACCAGCAACACCGGTAGCACAAGTGCTGCTGACAGCCCTGTTCCTTCTGATAATGGCACCACGGCTGGGAACACCGCTGCTGCTTCTGCTGGTAACTTCACTTGGGATGGTGACGACACAGCTCCCACCAGCATAGTTCCTGCAGGAAATGGCACTCTTGCTGGTAACGGCACTCTATCTGGCAACAGCAGCACTGGTGCTAATGGCACCCCGTTTGACAACGGCCGTGCTGGTGCTAATGGCAGAGGTCCAGGTGCAGAGGAGGTGGTGCGGTACTTCACAGTGGGTCAAGAGGCATTTGTGTGGGGGGCTCCTCTCGTGACCTTCTTCCGCCAGCAGGCCACCCGTGCTGCCCTCAACGCCTTCTTCTACGCCAACACCACCGCTGTCGTCGGCTTGACAGGTAACTGATGCATCCTTCCTTGTAAAGCTCTTCGTACCATACTTGTCTTGAGACAGAACCGTTTGCGATATTCCGTCGCCCTCCAGTTTTGACTCCTCCTCCTGTCCGTGTAGCTCACAGCCGTGTTTCCAGGATCCATCCCCCCGGTATCCACAACCCCATACACTCCTCCCCCGCCCAGTTTCTACTGCCATTGCAACTACACCCTCGACTTACCCCCATACCGCATCCCCCTCCCAACCTCCACCCTCATCCGCATTCCCTACCACTCGCTTCAGACATGGCTCTCCCCAACGTCGACACGGTGTATGGCGGATCTTTCCTCTTCCTCCAAGGAAAAGTGCATTCGCACTCTTCTTCCATTGAGCTACTTTCTGTTCCTCCTTCTCCTTCTCCTTCTCATTCCCCCCCCCCCCGCCCTCCCAGACGTGGCTCTCCCCAACGTGGACACGGTGTATGGCGGATCCTTCCTGTACCTGAGAGACCAGCCCATGGTGCTCAGGACTCCCAACTTTGGTGTTGGCCGTTACTACAGGTGAGGGAGGTTAGACCAGGGGTTTAAATACAGGAAGGGGTCTAAGGCGTCTCAAGAGGCAAGGGGTATAAGGCGTCTCAAGAGGCAAGGGGTATAAGGCGTCTCAAGAGGCAAGGGGTATAAGGCGTCTCAAGAGGCAAGGGGTATAAGGCGTCTCAAGAGGCAAGGGGTATAAGGCGTCTCAAGAGGCAAGGGGTATAAGGCGTCTCAAGAGGCAAGGGGTATAAGGCGTCTCAAGAGGCAAGGGGTATAAGGCGTCTCAAGAGGCAAGGGGTATAAGGCGTCTCAAGAGGCAAGGGGTATAAGGCGTCTCAAGAGGCAAGGGGTATAAGGCGTCTCAAGAGGCAAGGGGTATAAGGCGTCTCAAGAGGCAAGGGGTATAAGGCGTCTCAAGAGGCAAGGGGTATAAGGCGTCTCAAGAGGCAAGGGGTATAAGGCGTCTCAAGAGGCAAGGGGTATAAGGCGTCTCAAGAGGCAAGGGGTATAAGGCGTCTCAAGAGGCAAGGGGTATAAGGCGTCTCAAGAGGCAAGGGGTATAAGGCGTCTCAAGAGGCAAGGGGTATAAGGCGTCTCAAGAGGCAAGGGGTATAAGGCGTCTCAAGAGGCAAGGGGTATAAGGCGTCTCAAGAGGCAAGGGGTATAAGGCGTCTCAAGAGGCAAGGGGTATAAGGCGTCTCAAGAGGCAAGGGGTATAAGGCGTCTCAAGAGGCAAGGGGTATAAGGCGTCTCAAGAGGCAAGGGGTACAAGGCGTCTCAAGAGGCAAGGGGTATAAGGCGTTTCAAGAGGCAAGGGGTATAAGGCGTCTCAAGAGGCAAGGGGTATAAGGCGTCTCAAGAGGCAAGGGGTATAAGGCGTCTCAAGAGGCAAGGGGTATAAGGCGTCTCAAGAGGCAAGGGGTATAAGGCGTCTCAAGAGGCAAGGGGTATAAGGCGTCTCAAGAGGCAAGGGGTACAAGGCGTCTCAAGAGGCAAGGGGTATAAGGCGTCTCAAGAGGCAAGGGGTATAAGGCGTCTCAAGAGGCAAGGGGTATAAGGCGTCTCAAGAGGCAAGGGGTATAAGGCGTCTCAAGAGGCAAGGGGTATAAGGCGTCTCAAGAGGCAAGGGGTACAAGGCGTCTCAAGAGGCAAGGGGTATAAGGCGTCTCAAGAGGCAAGGGGTATAAGGCGTCTCAAGAGGCAAGGGGTATAAGGCGTCTCAAGAGGCAAGGGGTATAAGGCGTCTCAAGATCCGTCCTCTTTGTCCTGGACCAGCCCATGCTCCGCACACCCAACTTTGGCCAAGGCCGTTCACCTCCTACGGAGTATGAGGTGGTCTCTTGCACGTCTGCACCGTCGCTCTCTTCCTCTGTGTCCTGATGCTGCTTTGTTCCCCCACCTCTCTCCCCTGTGCTCCCCCCAAACACTTGCCAGCGCGGGTTTCTTACAGCCCTACTACTCCACATTCAGTGTCAACAGCAGTTGTTCAGTGCTGCTCGGACTACCTGCTTCCCCCCCACACCACCCCCACCGCCCCACCCACACCACCACCTCTCCCCTGCCAGCGCGGGTTTCTTCCAGCCCTACTACTCTGCATTCAGCGTCAACGGCAGCCGCGCCAACGGTCCAGGCCCCAACACGTTCACTGTTGTCGGGCCCGAGTGGGAAGGGGATGTGCCTGCTGACCTCGCACGCACGGTCATACGGGTAAGGCTGTGAGGGTCATGATAAGGCCGTCAACCATATGGGTGAAAGCATTGTTGTTAGAAGGTGGACTCTGTTTGTCTGCCTCTGCTTCCGAGAAGGTCACTTTTGGTTGGGCCTGACGGGGGGGTTGGGGAACTGCCTGCTGGCCTCACCTCGCTGCCACGGTCCTAAGTTGGATAACCGCGGTTTGCGGCTTGTACGCTAGCGGTTAACCGCAAACTGCTGGATGTGGGGGTAGTAGATATGCTTCAAAACTGCAGGGTCGGGCAGGTAAAACAAACCAGGGGCAGGCGAAGAAACAGCGGTTTAGGGGAGGGGGCCGGGGGGTGCTGAGCACTCTCTGTACATGTGAACGGAGCTGCCTCTGTTGTTCCCAACTCGGTAGCAGAGGAGGTAGGAAAAGAGGTGAAAGGGTGTGATATGTGCAGCTCTAGTCTGAATTTCGTACTCGATTGGGCGAGTGCGCGAAGTGCGAAAATATTCTGCACACATTTTTGGGGGAAAAAAAAAACGAGTGGGCTGCTCTCATTTCCACAGCGAGGGTGAGATTTTGTGTTCCCTCTTGAAGGGCTGGCACCTTGCTTCAAGACTTGAACTGTTGAACCCTACTCTCTCCCTCTCCTCTACTGCCAACTGCTTCTTCCCTTTCCATCTTTTCCCCCTCCGCCTCTACCACTTCCCCTCCTTTCCTCCCGCACCCCATTCATCAATCCCCTACCAATGACTTTCTGGTAATGCGTATGGTAGTGTCAGTCAGCCAATCCATTTCCTCTCTCCCCCTGCCCCTTTGCAGCCAACCTTTCGCCTTTTCTCCTCCCCCCCCTCTCCCATCCCATTCAACAGGAACCCCCACCAATGACACTCTTCTGTTAATGCAGGTGGTCGCTTCTCCTTTGCCGCTCACCTTTCGCCTTGTTGTCCCCCTCCCCCCCCCCCCCTTGTGACAGTCCCCCACCAACGATGCTCTTCTGCTGATGCGAGTGGTCGTATCACAAAACGTTACAAACGACCTTGCTACGGTGCTGTCCCTCTACAGTCAAGTCTCGCTACAGGCACTCTCGGAGGCACTGGGCGGGCCTGCAGTTCCTCCCCTCCCCAATCCGCCCCTCCCCAGCTCCAACCTGTCCGAGGCCCTGCAGGCGAGTTCTCTCTGCATCATCTTTAGGCTTTGAAACAGTAGGAGACCCCCACTTACTGACCTCACAGATGTGGCCTTCCCCAGCTCCAACCTGTCCAAGGCTCTGCAGGTGAGTTTCACCCTCGTCAGCCCCTTGATTCAAATTTAGCTTGAGAAGACTCGGGGAATTGACGTTCCCAAGTAGACCTGGGCTTCGCGCCGAGCCTGACTCGGCTCTAAGCCCATGTCTATTCTCAAGTACCTACAGTCTTCGAGGCCGTACAGGTTATTCATTTAATGGATGAACCCCTTTCAAACTCCAGCGGATCACAGGGCCCCCTCTATCAATGCTCACGCCATGCCGATTTGCTCCCTACTCTCTTTTGTGTCTCCTTCGCTGGCTCCTACCCTCCTTTCTTCCCCATCCACCATCTCGGCTTCCCGTGCATACAGCGCTTGACAATAATAGGCGAGGGGATTCAACGCGATCCTCCTGTGAATAACAGCGCCAACAACCGAGTGCTTAGAATGGTGAGGAGGAAATTCAGTGAGAGGGGTGCTGATGCACCCGAGTGAAGTGCCGCGGAATAGAACATTCCCAACCCTCCTACCCATACCCATGGCACACTTGGTCTCATAGATCCCATCCCAAACTCTTGCCCCATCCTTCCTCCTTCCCCCACACTGGCTTTAAGTCCTGCACGTCTCCCCCATCCATCTTCCCTCCCACCCTCACCTCTCAACTGGCGTCTATCAACGTGACACAGCACTACTGCTTATCTTTCTCACTGCCCCTTTCCTTTTCACAACATCCTTTCCTCCAACCTTCCCTCCCTTTCCTCCCTCACCTCTCAGCTGGCATCTGTCAATGCAACACGGGAATCTGGATTCGACCCCTACATCATCTCACAGCGGCAGAGAGGATGGTTCAGATCCACCCTTGTGCTCTTCTTATGTCCTCCTCTCCTCATACCTCCCACCTCCCACCCTCCACCTCCCTCTCTCGCCTCTCAGCTCGCCACTATTAACGTGACGCAGCAGTGTGGCTTCGACCCCTACAGCGTGACCCAGCCTCAGGCAGCAGCTCTGGAGGCAGCGAGGGAGTTAACGGACCAAGAGTTGAGGGCAGCAAACAGAATCATTCAGATCAACGAGTCACTCATCCAGTCGTAAGTGTGCCGGCAACAGAAAACTGAGCACGCTATGTGTGAGCGGCGAGAGTGAGAAGGGACCAACCACTGTGCGCAGCGCAGCAAACAGAATCATTCACATCCCTGAGTCACTCATCCAATCGTAAGTGTGCCACGTCAGGAAGTAGAACACTCTAGGTCAGGGGAGCTAACGGCCCGCGAGTTGAGTGCAGCTAACGCCATAATTCAAGTCAACAAGTCACTCGTTCAAAAGTAGGGTGTGCCACTTGAGGCGCCTAAGAAGAGGCAGCAGCAGTGGAAGCAGCAAGAGAGGTAATGGACAGTGAGTTGAGCACATCCAACACCATTATTCAGATCAACGATTCACTCATTCATTCGGAAGTGCGCCTCCTCAGGGAATTAGCGAGCTACTATCTGTTTTGCTTGCAGCCACAAACACAGTCTTCTTGGCGCTTCTTCTATTCCATGGTTCTGAACTGCCCCCGTCTTCCTTCCTTCTCGTGCCCTTGTCGCTGTTCCTCTGCGCTTGCCCACGCTCACCCTCGTTCCAGTGACGATTTCTTTTCGTCGTCCCTCAACTGGCTCGGCCACGACTTCAGCACGGAGTTCTTCTATCGAGCCACGTTCTCACAAGCAGGTGGCATTGGGGCACTCCCTGCCACTGAGGTCGTCTACTTTCTCGCCTTCCTTGCCCAGGTGAGGCTTGGGTTTCCCTTGGAGATTTCTGTGTGGAATAAGAGTCCATCATCATCAGTGCGACTTCCTTTTTCCCTGCCCCTGAGGTCACCTTCCTCACACAGGTGGGAAAGTCTTTTTTGTCCTTGCTATAGAATTTCAACTATTTCTTGGGTCCTTGCTATGTTTTGGCGATTGCCGGAGGTTTCCCACGTTCCTCAATCACAGCATCAGGGGCCATTCTGGGTCTCTCTCATCGGATCGTCTACTTTCCTCCAATTTCTTTCACTGGAGGTCTCCCCCCATTTTCCAATGTTTTCGCCAGCAACAACACTGCCTTAATGCTACACAGCCGTTGCCGCCTTCCCTCTCCCACCCTCTCACATGTTACCAGGCCATTCCATCTCTGCAAGAGCTGTCGCGCTGGAGAACACCTTCTGCACCCCCTTACCGGCTCCGTTTACTGTTTTTTTCTCTCCAATCCCCTCATATGTTTCCAGGCTGTTCCTTCTCTGCAAGAGCTGTCGCCGTGGAGAGCACCGTCTGCACCCCCCTTACTGGCACCTCCCCTCTCTGCGAATACTACAACCTCTCCCAACACCACTATTCCTCCCAGTAGTGAACCTATCTTTCCCAACAGCACCACATTGGGCAACTCCACTACACCAACCAACACCACCACTGCATCGGCGAACGAGACTTTTCTCGAAACCCCCCGTCTCCCCTCCCCCCTGCCCCCGCTCCGCAGCTTCCCGCCCTTTATCCCCCTCGAAGGCTACCTCTGCTTCCGCCTCCGCCTCACCCCTCCCCCTGTTGACTCCTTCTGGTCCGTCACTGTTTACAATAGCACCTCTCTTAATCTCCTGGAGGGAGTTTCCAAGTATGGCGTGGGAGATCGGACGCCAGGTTTGCTAGTGAGTTCACTACCCACCCTCCCTCTGGTCCACCTCCCCTCCCCACTACCTGACCCATCCGCCTGTCGAATCCTTTTGGTTCCTCACCCCCGGCAAGAACGCACGCGCCTGCATGCTGGATTTGATTGAACGACGGACGATCACGTAACCAAGCTTCAATCTTTGTCGCAATCCCTCTCTGGGTCGATCCCCCTGTCCCTGGTCCTATCATTGTCACAGTAACAACCCAAAGGCAATGATAGGACCAGAGACATGGAGAGGGACCAAGAGAGGGACAGAGACAAAGATTGAAGCTTGATTACAGGATCGTGCATCGTCCAGTCAAATCCAGCATGCATACAAAAATGGTAAATGGGAGATGATTTCTGGTCACATGCATACAAAACTGGGAGATGATAAAGATTGCTTCAAATCACCACTCGTCCCCCTCCACATTCCTTCCCCCTTTCCCCACTTTCCCCTCCCCCTTCCCCTCCCCCATCCTGCCCCCACCCCTCTCCAAACTCTTTGCCCCCTTCCTCACCCCTCCTCTGATCAAATCTTTCTGATCTACCACTCTCTACAATAGCTCCTCCCTCAGTCTTCATGATGAGGTACCTTGCTTAGTGTTGCTGTCTTCCCCTCCGTCCCCTCCCCCCCCACCTTCTCTCTCCCCCCCCCCCCTTTCTTTTGCACACCCCTCAGTACAACCGCGATGGCACCCTTACCATCTACATTCAACCCACTTCTCCTGGCCAGGCGCTTGAAGTCAATTGGATTCGTACTGTGTATTCGGTATTTTCCTTCGGTACACCATGTCCCCTCATCGCTCCAGCTCTGCTTCGTGGTTTGTCGTGCTCTGCGTCCCTTACATTGTTTCCTCCCTCTACGCCTATTCTTTCACTTTCTTGCCACTTACTCCTTGTTCTTGTCGTCTCCATTCCTCAACTTCTTCCTGCTAGTGCCTTCTCCTCCTTTCTCACCTTCCCCTCTACACTTTCCTACTCGTATCCATCTCTAGCTAATATCATCTGGTGTGCTTACTCTAAAATATGAGTGCCCACCAGCGTTGTAGTTATACATGTTTACACACTCTACCTTTTGCCTTATCCTGTGTGTCTCCCTCCCTTCCGCCCAACTCATGCCTTTTTTTTCTCCCCCCACACCCCCATCCTTCTGATTTCCCCTCCAGTCAAGGAGTGCAGTTGTAGTGAGGGCGTATGGCCCCTCTCCTCTCATTCTCAATGGAACATACAGCCCGCAACCAGTTCAGCTCTTCCCTCCAGGGCCCACCTGTCAGTCACAACAGGGCAATTTCTGAGCCTGGCTAGGGAATCAGACGGATTTCGTCTGATATCTGAGACCCTGCTCGGCAGTCCTTGATCTTGCAGTTCTCGCGTAATTGTACAGCATGCTAGACTCCTGAAATGCTGATGTCTTTTTAACACTTCCAACAATCCAGAATGTACTTGGCAACTGCACGTTTGATCTATCCATCATTTTAATAAACCAACGTCAAAGACTTGCAATGCAATTGAAAGCACACCACACAGCTGGTATCTGCTGCAAGGCAATCGTCGGACAGTGATTCAGCAGCGAACATGCAGCCAAGTCATCGAGTGCACCAAGATCAGAATCAGACTCGCGCAGGACTGCAATGAAACGCGATTCCAACACTTGCATGGCACAGTAGGGCACGAGTCTGATTTTGATCCCGGTTCATAGGAATACGCCCTAAGCCAGCAGCAAACAACCATTTAACAGCAGCAGACAACCATTTAGCCAGCAGCAACAGCCCCAGCAGCCAGTGATCGTGGGTGGGTGGTGGTGCATGCTTCACTGCTGGCACAACACGAGAGAGGCTATGCTGCCTGCACGGCTGCGAGGGATAAGTAGTCGTATTGCTCTGGTGTGGGAGACAGGGCGTGACAGGAGAGGGTGGAGGAGAATACAGGAGAGGATATGAGAGGATATTAGGGGAGGAGAAAGGAGAGCAGAGGAGATGGGTGGGGGAGAGGGAAGTGGAGAGGGGAGAAGGGAGGGGGAGGAGAAGATCGAAGCGGAAAGATATGCGAAAATAGGAGGGGATAGGAGAATCGAGGAGCTGCACCCATACTGCCACCGCCCCTTCCACATACTGCCCTCCCCACCCCACTCACGGCTGGCCTTGGTGCAGGAGGCGGATCCCACGTTGCTCCAGTCCGAGGCGGAGACGCAGCCCTTGAGGCACGCCACGGTGTACGGCGCCGTGCTGGTGGTGTGGTAGTGGTAGAACGCCGGCTCGCCCGCGCTGCCGTCGCCCACGTGCCCGTTGCACTCGTCCAGCCCTGCTGGCAGCGCCCCCCCCGCCCCCCGCGGGCCGTACAGCGGAATGCCGTCCGCCAGGAAGCCCACCAGCGGGGAGTGCGCGCTGGGGGTGTCCTGCCAGAAGGAGGAGCTGCGTGCGTGGTGGGGGGGGAAGGGGAGAGAGAAGAGGGTTGATTCAAGAATGGTACACAACAGCAACACATGGCATGTAAAATGGCACAAGGGAGTGCATCACAAATAATAGATATGATAGATATGGCATGCCACATGGCATGATGCATGGAACGCAGCGGCAGCAGCAGCAACTGACCTGCAGAGCTGGAAGGTGGCAGTGCGAGAGCCGGAGATGGCAGAGGGGTTGGCGACGCCGGGCGCCAGGTGGTAGTGGTACTGCCCAAAGGGCGAGGGGTGACCCGCACACCCGTCGAAGCTCGCCCCCTCGTACTTCAGGGCGTCCCGGCCCAGGGCGTCACAGGCGCTGTGGGAGCAATTGAACAAGAGGGGGGTACAATGGAAGGAAGGCGTGTGTTAGGGGCTGTACAGAAGCAAGAGCTGCGACACTGCCTGTTGCCCCTTGGTGCTGCAACGCTGCAGGGCGTCGCATGCTCTGTGCAAGGAAGAGGGTAAAAGAAGGGACCAAGGGAATGTGTTAGAATGTACAGAATCAAATCCTGTGACGCTTCCGCTCGCACCAAGGTGCTGCACGGCGAGACTTAAGAAAGATGAGATCCTGCCAAGGGTTCAAATGAGTGGGCCTGAATGCGAGAACTCCCATACATGTACGAGGGCCTAACGTAACCAAACCCCCCTCACGCCCCCTTTCCCCCTGTGTGTGTACCTGTAGAAGGGCACCCCGTTGAGTGCAAAGCCTATGGGGCCCATCTTGCAGCCACCCACGCCCACACGGGTGGAGGAGGAGGAGAGCGTGGGGGCGAGCGGAACTGAGAAGGAAAGCGTCTGCTGCACTGCCGTGTTGACCGTGCCCTGCACCCGCCACGCGTACCCGGGACACCCGTTGGACGTCATCACTCTGAGTGGGATAGGGCAGGGGAAGAAGTAGGGGGTGAAAAGGGAGGAAATAGGAGGTGAATAGGACACAAGGAGTGGGATTGCGCACGCCCCACACGTACCCGGGACACCTGTTGGACACCGTGACTCTGAGGGGGGAGACAGGGAATGGCAAAGAGGCCATGGTGAAGAGGCCATGGTAAAGTGGGCATGGTGAAGAGGGCATGGTGAAGAGGGCATGGTGAAGATGGCATGGTGAAGGGGGCATGGCAAAGAGGGCATGGTAAAGATGGCATGGTGAAGAGGGCATGGTGAAGACGGCATGGTGAAGAGGGCATGGTGAAGATGGCATGGTGAAGAGGGCATGGTGAAGGGGGCATGGTGAAGAGGGCATGGTGAAGAGGGCATGGTGGAGAGGGCATGGTGAAGAGGGCATGGTGAAGAGGGCATGGTAAAGATGGCATGGTGAAGAGGGCATGGTGAAGACGGCATGGTGAAGAGGGCACGGTGAAGATGGCATGGTGAAGAGGGCATGGTGAAGACGGCATGGTGAAGAGGGCATGGTGAAGAGGCCATGGTGAAGAGGGCATGGTGAAGAGGGCATGGTGAAGAGGGCATGGTGAAGAGGGCATGGTGAAGAGGGCATGGTGAAGAGGGCATGGTGAAGAGGGCATGGTGAAGATGGCATGGTGAAGAGGGCATGGTGAAGATGGCATGGTGAAGAGGGGAGGAGAGGCAGGGCGACGAGGGAGGAGGTACGGGGTGGTGAAGAGCAGCGTGGACAGACGCGGATGGAGCCAAGGGAAGAACTGTCGAATGCACAGAAGGAGCTCAGAGGGTAGGGTGGGAGGAGTGCGGCACAAGGGATGGATGGATGCCCACCTCTTCCCATTGCTGGACCTCATCTTGGCGCTCCTGCTGCTGCTGCTGTTGCCACACGCACTCCCACCTGATGACCCGCCGCCTCCCCCCATGCCCCCTCCCCCCATGCCGCCTCCCCCCATGCCCCCTCCCCCCATGCCGCCTCCCCCCGTGCCCCCTCCCCCCATGCCGCCTCCCCCCATACTTCCTCCCCCCATGCCGCCTCCGCCCATGCCCCCTCCGCCCATGCCTCCTCCGCCCATGCCTCCTCCGCCCATCCCCCCTCCGCTCATGCCTCCTCCGCCCATGCCCCCTCCGCCCATGCCCCCTCCGCCCATCCCCCCTCCGCCCATGCCGCCTCCGCCCATGCCTCCTCCGCCCATGCCGCCTCCGCCCATGCCCCCTCCGCCCATGCCTCCTCCGCCCATGCCTCCTCCGCCCATGCCCCCTCCGCCCATCCCCCCCCGCCCATGCCTCCTGCGCCTCCTCCGCCCATGCCGCCTCCGCCCATGCCCCCTCCCCCCATGCCGCCTCCCCCCATGCCCCCTCCCCCCATGCCGCCTCCCCCCGTGCCCCCTCCCCCCATGCCGCCTCCCCCCATACTTCCTCCCCCCATGCCGCCTCCGCCCATGCCCCCTCCGCCCATGCCTCCTCCGCCCATGCCTCCTCCGCCCATCCCCCCTCCGCTCATGCCTCCTCCGCCCATGCCCCCTCCGCCCATGCCCCCTCCGCCCATCCCCCCTCCGCCCATGCCGCCTCCGCCCATGCCTCCTCCGCCCATGCCGCCTCCGCCCATGCCCCCTCCGCCCATGCCTCCTCCGCCCATGCCTCCTCCGCCCATGCCCCCTCCGCCCATCCCCCCCCCGCCCATGCCTCCTGCGCCTCCTCCGCCCATGCCGCCTCCGCCCATGCCGCCTCCGCCCATGCCGCCTCCGCCCAAGCCCCCTCCGCCCATGCCCCCTCCGCCCATGCCCCCTCCGCCCATGCCTCCGCCGCCCATTCCCCCTCCTCCCGCACTACCCGGCTGCCCGCTCATTCCCCCACCAAACCCGCCCTGCCCGTTCTGCCCGCCTCGCGTCGCGCCACTTCCGCCGCCGCTGCCTGTCCCAGGGGGGCGGAAGAAGGACCAACCCGATCCCCCGGCCAAGCCGCCGAGCCGCCCCGCGAGACGCGGAAGGCCGAACGAGCGCGCGTTGCACGCGGCGTGATCGACGCGCGCGAAACAGAGGAACGCCACGAGCGCGAGCGCGGGGACGAGGCGCGACCAACCGAGACGCGGCGCCATGGAGAGGAGGAGTAAGTACCCCCTAGTAGAGACTTCTTTTCGACTCAGCAGAATAAGTCGCTGAGTGATTGCAAGCGAGGCCGACTAAAGAGTCTTATTCGCCCTGCTCCTTCTGGCAAGAACGTCTCGCACGGCGAGAAGAGACGGTGGAAGAGACTCTTGCGATTTCGCCAGAGGTGGCGATGCTGCTTCGACGGCCAAGAGATATTCTCGAACCGCTGCGAGGAAAGATGGCCGAACAGACAGCTGTGGGTAACGATACGCCGATCCAGCTCGCTATTTCTACTTCTGGCCATCGTCGCTGCTGCGATGAGCTACTAGTAAGCCGACAGTCGCGTTTTACTGGGTGAAAAGGGTTGACGCGGCGCAACGCAAGTTTCTGCAGTGACGACTTTTCTTGTGCCGACGGAATCTAGGAGTCAGCGCGAATCCAGTCAACGGGGAGTCTGAAAATACTAGACCGTGGTTAGCAGCTGCCGTCCTTGTTGACTGACGCTTGGGGGAAAGACGGCGAGAAGTGAGTCAAGCGAGTGGTGACGCTGGAGTTACTCTTTAGAAGCTGTCCACAAGGTTGATCATCAGAATGATAGTACCTAAAATGAGTTCACAAAAATAACAAAACAAACCCTTCTACACATTATCAAGACAAACCCACTTGACGACCCCATAACCACCACTACCACTACAAATACCACCACTATATCCAAGAATTTTGGCACATACAACAATCTGTTGCAAAGCTCCGAGAACGCTCATTCGTGCTTTGCAGATAGGCCTTTGGGGGAAAGACGCGAATAGGTTGTGGTTGTTGACATTCATATATGTGTTAGCAATTATACAAACTATAGCCTAGCTAGGTTTCAGACTTATATGGGGTAATCCATAATTATCTAGGAATAGGAATCTTTGGGTACACCAAGGTGTATTCCCCAGCGAGCCCATTCAGTAAATCTGCCCACAGCTGCGCTCGGAGGTTTGTATTGGACCATGCAGCCCCAAACTCGTAAAAGTGGAGTGTCGGCGGGGTGTTTTGTCCACATGATGTGTGGCGAGCTGAACTGAGGAAGAGCTGTTGAAGACAGGCAGTTGTGTAGGCGGACAGCTTGCGTCATCGCAAACGGCCGAAAATCTGTTGTCAAACCGGACTGTTGTAGTAGCATGCGCATCTTTTCTTGCAGCGTCCTGTTAGTTCTCTCAGCTACTCCATTCTGCTGATGGGCGTAAGGCACAGTCTTGCGCCTAAGTATCCCTTTCCGCGCCAGGAATCCATCGAACTGTTCGCTGGTGTACTCGCTCACGTTGTCTCTCTGGATCTCTTTCAGTTTGATGCCACTCTGTCGCTCCGCGATTTTCAGCCATACTTTGAAGGCTTCGAGAGCTTCAGACTTGTGAGAGATATTCTTGTGCCAGACGTATCGAATAGCATCGTCTGTTGGAAATACCTCAAGGACTTAAGCGTTTCTGAAGTGTAACACCACACTCGAGGAAGGTCGTAACGGGTACGCGAGTCAACGGAGGTTACACGAGGGGGTGGACAAACAACGCGAAAGGACTCGAAGGGTCGCAACTGGAGGTTGCGACTGACAGTTACAACTGCAAAGATGGTAACCGAAGCGACAATCGAGTTGCTGTGCGACTCGATAACCGCTCTTTCAACTGTATTCTACAACTGCTTTACTTTCCTACTTTCTATATATTGCTGTATGCTTGTTCTTTTAATCAATCACTTGTTCTCACATACTAGTACAAGGGTTCAACTACTCAACTTCCGCTTCACTACTCAAGTCTCCTTTTTGCAACTGGACTTAGTCTCTGGAAAGATCCTAAGGGCTTTTCTCAGCCCAATATCGTCAATGAAGGATGATATTGCTGTAATCGTTGCCGCTGATAAATTCTGCTTCCTGCTGCATGAAGAGTTTGTCGCTGAAAATGGCATCCATAGGTGAGTACTTAGAAGCACTTTGAAAGTGCGACGGGAACGGAGCGGGATTTAGGTGAACACCGGGGCAGATGGTGCAGGGTAGTTGACGACTACTAGGTCGAAGCTCTTGGTCGTTGGTTAAAAGGAGTGCGTCCTTGTCGAAAACTAAGGCTTTAATGGAGTTGTTGAGAACTTCTTGCGAGGGATGACCTAACCGCTTGTGCCAGATTTCTGTTGTAGTCCTGTGTCCCTTCGAACGCAGGTACAAGTCGGAGTGAAGGAAGAAGGCCGGTGTAAGATGAATCGTTGGCGCAGAGCTAACGCAGCGGCCGGTGCCGAAATTGTGGATGAACCCGCCTTCTTCTGCAGTTTCAGCCCAAGGTATGCCGAGATGTCGGCGACGCATCCAATCATCAGGTACGATTAACTCTTTCTTGCCCCATGTGTGTTCAACCTCCATAGGTTCTTCGACTGTAGCGGATGTTGGTTCTTGATTGTCGTAACCGCAATTTCCATCTCCAAATGCCCATGTACATTGAACTGTTTCTGCTGCTGCTAATGCCACTTCCGTTGGCTCTGCTACAGGCTCGTCGATGGAGTTGATGCAAGAAGGCTGGGGCGTGACGCACAAGACATTGAGACCATGATGATCTTGGCGTTGAAGATCTGTTTCTCGGTGATTATGCCAAGGAACGAGTAACACGTTCTTCTCACTGTCGCCAGATGCCTTGACAGGTGGAAACCGTAGAACAGATACGACGTCTTTAATTTCTGCGATGCCGACAAAATTCCTTTTGTCTGCCTTCTTGTCGCCCAGGTACAACTCCGTGAGCATCGTGTTGGCGGTGTTGACGAAACAGTTGCTGCTTTCCATCAGCTGTGCTTGTAATAGTAGGTTGAAGCCGAGTCCCGTGGCGACAAGGACCTTCTTCAAATGAAGTGAAGCTTCTGTGTCGTTGGACTCGCGAACCACATCTCCAATTTTGTTTGCTTCAATAACATGATTGTTAGCAACTGTGATGTTGTACTTCTCTCCGTTTTGCAGGTCTTGCTAGTTGATAAAATATTGACTTGAAGATGTCATGTGGTGACCTCAGCAGCTATTAAGAAACCAAGTGTTAACATGCTCGGCGATATGGGCATACGGCTGCACGTTCAACCGTCGAGGAAACTCGTTCTGCTGCTCTAGTTCTTCTTCGTTAACGACTGCTCGTTCTAGAGTTTCTAAACGAGGACGAAGACGTGGAGGCCGGTTGGCTGGTCCAACTTCCATGTCACTGTCGCTATAATTGTCTCGTCTGCTCCAGTAGCGTATACCATTAGACCAGTATTAATGATTGCCTTTCCTTTTGCAGGTTGAGTTGAAGAAGCTGAAGGCGGCGAGATAGTCTTGACAGGGGCAGCTTCCCCCAAATTCTGTTGATTCCTGTTCTTCAGTTTCTTCCACTCTTCAATATTATGACCTGCTCGTTTGCAAAACTTGCAGAAGCCCTTTCCTCATTTTCTTGTCTGCTCCCTTTGATTTGATGCACCTCTTGCCTGCTCTTCTTGACTTGATCTACCAGTATAAAAGCTTAACCCACTCTTTGTTTTGCCTCATTTTGCGTTGTGCAGGTCCAAGTCCTACTGCTCTGCCATCTTAGCAGCGCAAAGAGAAGTTTATGAGATGTTCCCTTGGGAACGAAGAAGGGACTTGCACTGCCTCCATTCAGGTCCAAGTCCAGCCAGAAGGATAGTGACGAAGAGCTCGTTGCTGAGGTTTCCTCCGCACTTGCTGAGCTGATGCCGAAGTGTTCTGCACATGTTGAAGTAGATGCCGGCATTTTCTCCCAGAAGCATATGCATTGCTGTAAGTTTACTTAGCAGCTAGCTCTATGTGACGCGTAGAAGGCTGGAGCAAGTGAATGTTTCAAGCACCGAACTCCTAACTGCTTTTCAGGTGAGAGATTCCGTACCTGTAGTATATAGGGTATAAGCGAATACTTGTAATAACGCGCTTGATCTTCGCTCGATCATGTCTCTGGATAACATATTGTACCGTCGAAATATCCCCAAATACCAGAAAATTGCGCGAGGAGTTCGGACTCGAATCCCCGAGTATAGAATTCGCGGCCATCAAAGTAACTTGAGGTCTGCAGCTTGAAGATAGTCAGGAAATCTGCTTGATCTACGATAGCTTCTGCAGCGAATGGTATTGCTTCTGCCATTTGATGTTGTTGCTGCTGTGGTTGTTGTTGTTGCTCTGGTTGAACAGGTCGTCCATGAAAGGCAAAAGACCTAGCAGATTCATCTCCAGAGGCTGAAGGCCCAGCGGCAACAGCGGCTCTTGCGTAACTAGAGTTATCAAGGCTCATGTAGGTTGTAGAATGCGCTGGAGCTTACTATTGTTATTGATTGGACTGATTAGCCATAAAGGAAGCGAGGCCGGATAGATCGTCGATAGAAAGTCCAGAAGTAGGAGAATTCATGATTGAATTTCCTGTCTTAGCAACTGACATAATTATAGATCTATGACTTAAGCTTAAGGGCACAATCGAAATCAGCTTGTATCGGTTCGTGTAACTCTACCAGCTTAGAACACCATGAAAGGGTGAACCGCGTGCTTAGGGTGGCCAGGATCTAGAGTTGCTGGAACCACGAGTAAAAGTCAGCGCAAGACTTTATACCTTGTATTGGACATGTCCGAAATGACAAGGATAAGAATAATGAGTAATACAAACATATTTATAGTCTATGAAGTACCTATTCGAGTGTACACGTTCGTAGTATATCGCAACTATTCGCATTCTTTGTCCGCCTCCTCGTGCAACCTCCGTTGACTCGCGTGCTCCCCTGTAATCTTCCTCGAGTACAGTGTTATACTTCAGAAACGCTTAAGTCCTTTGAGATATTTCCAACACTCCCCTTCGTTTTTGGAGTGCTGGCGTGTTCAGATCCGGTGACGTTTGTTTGCCCGGTCAGGAGCATGCAGTAGTCGAATTTTGCTTTCGCCAATTTCTTCGTCAGATAATCTGCGGCCATTTCTGTCGTCGGGCAGTAACTGAGTTGAAGTCTCCCCTTCGCGATTTCATCCTTGACGAAGAAGTACCGCAGGGCGATGTGCTTGGTTCGGTTGGCGAAGCCGTCCTTGTTCGCGATTTTGATCGCAGATTGGTTGTCGCAGAAGAGTGAGAAGGCGGGCAGGGTCGCGATCTTCGCTTCCTCGAGTAACTCCCGCAGGTAGAGTCCTTCCTTGGTCGCAGTACAAAGGGCGATATACTCTGCTTCAGCCGAGGATAGTGCGATTAACTCCTGCTTGTTCGACTGCCAGGAGATAGTTCCGATGGGTTCTAGTCGGTAGATGTAGCCCGTCCTAGATCGTCGATTTTCCCTATCTCCCGTGTGGTCGGCGTCGACGTATCCGAGTAGTCGTACGGACGGTGTTGTCGCTTTGCTGTAGGTAAGCCCGATCGTCGGCGTGGAGACGAAGTAGAGTAGTGCCCGGTTGAGCTCCTCGAGATCT